TCAATTGTGGATTTATTTATGTATGGGCCAATGTTTATAACAAAAATAGTTTTTAGTTGAAAACAAAAAACAGAAAAGATAATGGCTGCTTCAACTTGTGATGACAATGTTCTGTAAATTTAAGGAAAAAAGTGATGGTGGACTTTCAAATGTTCATATCTGAATTCTGTAATAATACAGCATGTTGTGTTTATTATAAGGGTTTCGTTCAATGATTGGCAGCACACACTTGCGGTTTAGGGTGAAAATTACGCATAATCCTATTAAACCATCCAAATGTAATATGACCACCCACCAGCATTTTCAGGCATTTATTCGTATGGAACAACCTTGTGCTATTTACCTACTTGTTCTTACATAAATTCACATTTAAAAAAAACACCACCATATGCCCTGAATAATTAAAAATGTCCTTCATGACACATAAATCCACATTAACGCACAATTATGAGACATATTTGTGCACTTCTTACCTAAAAGCAGGAGACAGATGTGAACACACATCCACACCGTGACAGACTTCATTTTGGTGGGGATAGAAAATTAGTTAAGGTCCAGTTAGACTGATATGTCCACTGCGGGGGGCTACTGTTCTCAAAATCCTTTATCGTGGTTTAGTTCAAGTGTAAAAAGTCCAAATCCTCATTCAACTTCAAAATACAGACGCGCCACCCGAAAAAAAATGTTTGACCAATTAATCCACAGTTCTCTTAGATTTGAGGACCTACCACGACATAAACACAGCGCCTAATATTATAGGAAATGAATATGCCGATCAATCACTGCGTCACTCACTCAATCCATAAAAGCGGTTTGTCGGGTTCCGCCTGCGCTCCGTTCATAACGACAAACTACATCATAAGGGCGCACACTGGCCGCTCCACTGGCACCTTCTGGAGACAAGTTGTGCCTAAAACATTCTTCCATCCGGTGGTCCCTGATCTGTCAGCTGATCGGGGCAAAGGAAGTGCATCGACTCGGAGGGAGCTGCATACAGGACGTGTCCTCCTCACCACTGGAACCAAACACAGCAATGCGCTCCTCTGGTGGCACCGGCACTGAGTTCCTTTTGCACTGACTGAATGCAGGCGCGCCGACGCTTCGCAGCACTTTATAAAGAGAGCAGAATTTGAAAAGCCGATAGAGGGCACTGCTACAGGGGTGCATTCACTGTGTTTTACACTAATAATACATTTTTACACCTCAAAAATGCATTGTGGTCAGTGCCTACAGGGGCCTTTCAAAACATTCGCACCATTATTACAAGTAATAATAGTGGTACAGTATTATGTATCTGTATGTATGTCAGCTTTATTCTAACATATATAATAATAATAATAATACATTTTATTTCATAGGCGCCTTTCTGTCACCCAAGGACACCTTACAGTGAATACAAAGATAACAACACAGCATTAAAAAACAATAAAACATA